AAATTTACTTTGTATAATTTTTCTTCTTCCAAATGGTATGCATGAAATGCTAGGATTGGGGAAGAGAAGAAAATTAAAGCAGGAGTTTGCAGTCCTTTTATTGTATTCTCTTCCACATGTAAAGTAAATTAGATTGATAAAATTGTGGTTTTTTTTTTTTTTTTTTTTTTGACAGGCAGAGTGGACAGTGAGAGAGAGAGACAGAGAGAAAGGTCTTCCTTTGCCGTTGGTTCACCCTCCAATGGCCGCCGCGGCCGGCGCACCGCGCTGATCCGATGGCAGGAGCCAGGAGCCAGGTGCTTATCCTGGTCTCCCATGGGGTGCAGGGCCCAAGCACCTGGGCCATCCTCCACTGCACTCCCTGGCCACAGCAGAGGGCTGGCCTGGAAGAGGGGCAACCGGGACAGAATCCGGCGCCCCGACCGGGACTAGAACCCGGTGTGCCGGCGCCGCTAGGCGGAGGATTAGCCTAGTGAGCCGCGGCGCCGGCCTAAAATTGTTTTTTTTTTTTAAGATTTATTTATTTACTTGAAAGGCATTGTTACAGAAAGAGGGAGGGAGGGAGAGATAGAGAGAGAGGTCTTCTGTCTGCTGGTTCACTCTCTGTATGGCTGCATCGGCCACAGCTGGGCCGGTCTGAAGCCAAGAGCCAGGAGCTTCTTTTTGGTCTCCCACGTGGATGCAGGAGCCCAGGCACTTGGGCCATCTTTCTACTGCTTTCCCAGGCCATCAGCAGAGAGCTGGATCGGAAGTGGAGCATCTGGTATCCAAACCCCAGCCATATGGGATGCCAGCGCCACAGGTGGAAGCCTAACCTATTACACGACAGTGCTGGTCCTAAAATCCTAAAATTGTTATTTTAACACATGTGTCACAGCCCTGGAATACAGATGGAAGAAAACAGGTAAGAGAGTAATGAAGAGACCAACATAGAAAATCGGTTCTGAAAAGATTGTAGGTCACTGTTTTTAAATATGCAGTTTCCTGGGGAAGGTAGCCAGAGCAAAGGATGAGTGCAAGTAGGTGACTGGACCCAGGAGCCAGATTGCCAGAGTTCAGGTTCCAGTTTGCCATTCCCAGCTGCGTGACCGTGGGCCGGGTGCTTTGACTCGCAGGCTTCTTTTTCTCACGTGCAACAGGGAGTTAATAACAGTGTCTGCCTCGCCAGCTCACATAGTGAGTGCCAGTTCAGGCTTAGCCCTAAAAGTGGCGTGTGGTGTGCAGGAAGCACAAGGCATATAGAGTATTAGCATTTGGTTCCTCACCAATTCCCTACCTTGCTTTGCCAGATGCAAACGTTATGCCCAATATGGACTGTTGGCAGCCAACCAAATACACAGAGGGAGGGGGCTTTTCCTTCCCGGGGTCCTGGGATCATGTGTGCATTGGAATTCCCTGTAAGAGGAAGCTCTCCGGAGACAGTGAGCACCCATCAATCTGTGGCACCCCCTCCATCCTTATCCCAACATGTTTTAAAGATTGGTTTCCTGTTTCAAGTGCATTAAGCTAGATTTTAGTCTTAGTTTCTCTTACATAGTTGGAATTAGAGCTTCTAGGGTCCATTATGCAAATCTGTGCAAATATATGCATAGAAGCCATAGCCCCAGATTGTGGGGAGGGGACTGTATAGGCCAGCACAAAGGGCCTTGAATGAAAATCTGCATGTGTTAGGGGAGGCCTGGGTTGAAGGCCTTGCACTTTTGTTGTGACAGCATGCATCACGCTCAGTTGTTAACCTTTTGTGCCAAAGAGGAGCGGTAAACTTGTCTGATTGCCATGTAGAAGGTGATGGTGGAGGTTAAGGAGGTATTTGGGCCGTGCTGCATTGTGATTTTTAAGTTACAGAGGAAAAATTGCTTTGGAATAATGACTGCGGCGCAGGCTGTGCATTCTCGCACAGGTCACTTCACTGCTGTTGCCTCTTGTTTGAAAGGAAGGGATGGGGTTAGGTGAATGCTGGGGCTTCTCTGGGGCATCTAAGTGTCAGCTCCAGGGGAAAGCCCTGGCACCCAGGATGGTGGCACCCATTCAGTAGACCAGACAGAGGGTTATTCCAAAGTAAAGAGAATGAGGGGGTAATCTTACAGTTCTTGAGAAGAAAATCACTTCAGGGGGTGCTAGCAAGGACAACAAAACAGCAGCAACAGAGACCAACTTACTTGAACTGTCAGTCCTAAGCAAGGGCTCTACCACAGGCTTCCTGGTTGGGCGGGTTTTAGCCCTGTGTCCATCCGCATCGTTGGTGTGGTTGGCGGGAAGTGTGTGCATTCTAGACACAGCCCTGGATCCACATACTTTGCACTTTGTGGCTTTGCACATCTTACCCTCCACCTCTGGGGTTCCCGCACTAACTGGGGGACCAGGGCGGCCCCTATCCCAAGGCAGGTATCTCTAACCTGTGTGCTAAGGTGTGCTAACCTTTTTTTTTCTTTTTATTTTTATTTTTATTTTTTTTTTATTTTTTGACAGGCAGAGTGGACAGTGTGAGAGAGAGACAGAGAGAAAGGTCTTCCTTTGCCGTTGGTTCACCCTCCAATGGCCGCCGCGGCCGGCGCGCTGCGGCCGGCGCACCGCGCTGATCCGATGGCAGGAGCCAGGAGCCAGGTGCTTTTCCTGGTCTCCCATGGGGTGCAGGGCCCAAGCACCAGGGCCATCCTCCACTGCACTCCCTGGCCACAGCAGAGGGCTGGCCTGGAAGAGGGGCAACCGGGACAGAATCCGGCGCCCCGACCGGGACTAGAACCCGGTGTGCCGGCGCCACTAGGCGGAGGATTAGCCTAGTGAGCCATGGCGCCGGCCAGGTGTGCTAACCTTGACACTGCTTTCCTCAGACCCTGGTCTCCAGCGGTATGGGATACATCTGGTACTCCACCCCAGTAGTCCTCTGGCTGTGGCACAGCCAACAGCTGGACTCAGTGCAACCTGACGGCTCCCAGGGCCAGAGCTTCTCTGACTCAGCCGTACAGAGAAGTACAAGAGAATTCCAAGCAGTTGGGAGCAGCCTTGCCCAGTGGGACAGAAGCCTCTGGGTAAGTGCTCCTCACAGCTGGCTCCTTGATACAGCCTGTGTTAGCTTTGGAATAGCTCAGGGTTCTGGCCTTTTGTACCCCCAGAAATGAGAGATGGAAAAAGGAGATGGAGACCAACCTCAGTAGAGACTTTTATCTAGTTTTGCAATCGGTTTTGCAGGTGGCTAGAGAGAGAGAGACTGTGAGTGGATCTCCCACGTAGTGGGGTGACATTCTTGTGAACCATATTGTCCCTTAGCCTGCCCACTCCTGAGTGCTCAGTGAGCTCCCCAGTGAGTTCGTAACCTGTCTTCACATCGGTTTTCCCGGATCCAGCCCATGGCCAACTCTCACATCACTTGTGAGTCTCAGTCTCCTTTTCCAGGGATCTCCAGTGGAACACCCTCATGGTAATCTTCCAGGGCTGTCGGAACTAGGCACTGTCTCTGCACACAGGCCCCTGGTGTGTCTGCCTAATCTGCTCTTCCTAGAGGGGCTCCCAGTCAGACTGGACTAGGGCCCACCCTGGCAGCCCGTTACCCTAATTGCCCTGTTTCAGAAAGGCCCTGTCTTCCAGTGCAGTTCCATGCTGAGGTATTAGAGGTTAAGGGGTTAACATAGGAATTTGGGGGAGGAGGGAGGACACAATTCAGTGTTAACAACCCTCTTATTGAACCAAGAACTTGTGGGCCCAACTGAGACTTGGGAGGGCGTGTCCCTCAAACCCTCAGAGACCGGCTCCAGCGCTAGGAATAGGTTGTCGCAGGGTGGTGGGAAGTAACCCTGCACCAGCAGAGCACAGCGCACTTGCTTTCCTCTGTGGGTGCAGAGCACCGTCCCCTCGTCCATCCGCATCGTTGGTGTGGTTGGCGGGAAGTGTGTGCATTTTAGACACAGCCCTGGATCCACATACTTTTGCACTTTGTGGCTTTGCACATCTTACGTCATCTCCCTGAGCCTCAGTTTCCTATCCCATCCAGTCTTTGTGAGGTAAAGTGAGCCTGGCTCTAGCATGCACAGTGCACTGTTGGTGTATGGTCTAGATCATTGGTGACAGTTGAGAAAATATGCTGTTTGGGGCAAATCATCGGTCCTAGATTTGGGGACTGCACAGCCTCTGCTCAGTCCAAAGCCCCTCTGCCTCTACCACCCACTAACATAGAAGGGTGAGGTGAGAGGGACACATACATAGAAGTACTTCTAAATCTATAGGTTTGTGTCCTTACGCATTTTCTCAGTAAATGACTGTCATGCAAAATCCATGTTTTCTGTTTATAAGCTCTTTTTTTTAACCTAGACACCTGTTATTTAAGGTATACAAACTTCATGCATTTCATATATACAAATTTAGGAACATAGTGATTCTTCCCACACCACCCTACCCGCCCACACTTCCACCCTTCTTCCTCCTCCCTCTCCTATTCCCTTCTTATTTTTTACAAAGATCTATTTTCAATTAACTTTATACACAGAAGATTAACCCTACACTAAGTAAAGGATTCAAAAAATAGTATGAAAAAAATTGTCCCTCAACAGTCGAGACAGGGCTGTTTAAAATCATCACATCTTTTTTTTTTTTACTAAAGAAATGTAGAGAGTTTTTATTAATAGCCATAGTTATATTGATTATAATAGCAAGTTTTCTTTTTTAAAAAAATATATATCCTATGTTAAGATACAAGAGATAAAGCAAACAGACATGGCTTTTTCTCTCAAGGGGTTTATCATTTTGAAGTGGATGATGAAATGTAAAACATTTCAAAAAGCATTTAAACATATTAAACACAAATAACAAAAAGAATGTCCTGGGTTAGTGTTGTGGCGCAGTGGGTGAAGTCACTGCCTCCTACAGTCATCCCACATGAGCCCTGGTTCAAAGTCCTGACTGCTTGACAGGCAGAGTTAGACAGTGAGAGAGAGAGAGAAACAGAGAGGAAGGTCTTCCTTTCTGTTGGTTCATTCCCCAAATGGCCACTATGGCCAGCGCACTGTGCCAATCGGAAGCCAGGAGCCAGGTGCTTCCTCCTGGTCTCCCATGCAGGTGCAGGGGCCCAAGCACTTGGGCCATCCTCCACTGCCTTCCCAGGCCACACCAGAGAGCTGGACAGGAAGAGGAGCAACTGGGACAGAACCCGGCGCCCCAATCGGGACTAGAACCCGGGGTGCCAGTGCCACAGGCAGAGGATTAGCCAAGTGAGCCGCGGCGCCGGCTGTGACTGCTCCATTTCTGATCCAGCTCTCTGCTCATAAAATCATCACATCTTAGAGTGTCAATTTCATTTCTATAGATTACCTTAGGTACTCTGTGCTTTCTGTTTTCAGCATTCATAAGGGCTCCTTCTACTCAGAGAGACTTGGTGTCACCAATAGAGATTTTCCCCCAGAGAGTTCAGCCACGAGAGTGCCACAGGAAATGCAACTAATAGTAACAAAAACCTTACTGTGCGCAGGTACTCCAGGGCTGCACCGCCTGCTGAAGCACCATCCTAGGCTTTGGGTCAAAGGCATGCTGGGAATTTCCTCCCCCTACCTGCTCCCTAGTTTGCCAGGACCCTTCCTGCCTCACCTGGGAATCACAGCTCAGAGCCCTGCGTCAGCTGTGTGTCCTCTTGGAGTCTGCAGGGAAGGCAGGCTCTGAAGGAGTTAGTGGAGACGGATCTCTGGCCATAGTCTGCATGGTGAGCAGGGCTGCAGGAGAGGCCTGAGTGATCAGGAGGAGGTTACTGTGAACAATGAGCAGTTAACATGTCCAGGTCAAGGCCTGGAGGACTGCCCGGCCACTCTGCAGCAGTAGAGAGCAGTAGTTCCTAACCCATGTGTTGTGACAGCCAGTTTTGTAATCTATAATCCTGGATAGATCCTTCTCCTCGTGTTATCTGAGGCATTATTTTTAAATACTGGCATACTCTGCTGTGATTAATGGAAACCACAGGTTTAGAAATGTTTTTAAGTGTATAGGTTTTTGTCTTTAATCATTTTCTCATTAAAAGTCTACACAATTGAGTATCATGCAGAAATGCATGGTTTTTGTTTTTAACATTTAAAAGGACTCCTCCTGCTTAAAAGACTCAAAAAATCACCGATGGAAATGATTCAAGAGTGCAGCCACGTGAGTGCCAGAAGGAAAGTGGTTAATGACAGCATAAAAACATAAGATCAGCAGGCACTTAAAGAGCCCATCTTTATTCCAGACTCTGCACTGAATGCTTTGTGGGCACCCAGTGTGGTCACCCTGCTCTGGTCCTGTGTCCCCTTCTGCCTGTCACTGTCCTGGGCCACTGAGGTATCTTATTTTAGGGTTGCCTTGTTTTGGGGTTGTTGGTGGATGAGTGCAAAATCCTCCGGGGTGGACGGGATTGTTTGCTGAGTGGGCCTGAACGAAGAGAGGTCTGTCCACTTGTGGTCTAGTCCTTTAAATGGAAGATTTGGAAAAGCGCACAGTGTTCTGCCCTCCCAGCTCGTCCTCATCCTGCCCTGTGTGGCTCACACAGAGATGCCAGCTCCCCTGCGCCTGGCTGGCCTTGGATGCTGCCTTGCTGCAGAGGAGGACGTAGGCGTGAAGGCCACAACCTGCTCCCCGACGCCAGCCCCAGCCATCTGGGAAGCCGCCCAGGGTAAAGGGCTGATGCCATTCAGGGCACTGGGGCAGGATGGGACTGGCCGAGGTGCAGGTCTCCTTCCCAGCAGGTGCTGAGTGATGACAACCGAAGAGGTCTCACCCATCCCAGCGGAGTGCGAGCAGCGGCCTGGCCATAGGAAGGCTCCCGGCGTCTCCCCTGAGCGTCCAGGGTTTCCTGGGCCACAGGTAAGGAAGGCTCCACCGACAAGCTGCTCCCAGTGCTTGACCTCTTCTCTCTGTCTCCTCTCAAGGCGTCCTCCTGATCTTGGCACTGACTGAAGCACTGGTGTCCGCTGTCCAGGAACCGTCTCCCAGGGAATCTCTGCAAGCCCTCCCATCAGGCACCGTGGTGACAACACTGCATAGCTCTGCTAGACACCCCTCCATGGTGACCTTGAAACCCCAGCCCAGTGACCCCTCCTCTCAGGCTGCATCTCCCATGGCAACAACGACGCCCCATCCAGACCAGCACCCTTCAGCAAGCACCGCGTCAGCCATTGTGACAACAGTGACCACCCTCCATTCGGAAGGCGCCCTGCCCACGGGACCCCCTCCAGCTGCCATGACAACCACCACCTCCTCCCTCTCAGAGGGCCGCCCCCCGGGGAATGCTGACCCTACCATCCTGCCAACAAAGCCAGCAGGAGGAGCCACCAGCTACCCCAGCACAGTGGCCCCCCGGGCTACCACCCGTAGGCCCCCTAGGCCCCCCGGCTCTTCCCGCAGGGGGGCTGGTAGCTCATCACGCCCTGTGCCTCCTGCATCTGGCAGCCACTCTGGGAGGAAGGAAGGGCAGCGGGGACGAAACCAGAGCTCCACACACCTGGGACAGAAGCGGCCCCTGGGGAAGATCTTTCAGATCTACAAAGGCAACTTCACGGGATCTGTGGAACCAGACGCCTCTTCCCTCACCCCAGGGACCCCGCTCTGGGGCTATTCCTCTTCTCCGCAGTCCCAGACAGTGGCTGCAACCACAGCACCCAACAGTACCTTGTGGCCCCCAGCCACCCACCCCCTGATGCCTGCAGAGGACAAGCCAGACCTCAGCAGGGCAGACCAGGGGCCTGGGTCCCCCTTCACTGGCCAAGGAGTGGAGCTGGACACCACAGCAGCCTCAGGTGCCCCAGCCCACCCGCAGCCTGCCCCAGTGCCTTCTCATCAACCCCGTGGTGACATGCAGGACAGCCTCAGCCGCAGTGACTCTTGGCTTACTGTCACCCCTGGCACCAACAGACCCCTGTCTGCCAGCTCTGGGCTCTTCACAGCCACCACAGGACCCACCCAGGCTGCCTTTCATGCCAGTGTCTCAGCCCCTTCCCAGGGGGTTCCTCAGGGAGCGTCCACAACCCCGCAGGCACCAGCTCGTCCCCCTGGGGTCCCAGCAAGCACTGTTTCTCAAGTCGAGGAGGAAGCTGCAGCCACCCCCTCCGCGGCCAGCAGGGGATCCAGCCCTTTCTCCACGGTGGTGTCCACAGCCACAGGGAACTTCCTCAACCACCTGGTCCCCGCTGGGACCTGGAAACCTGGAACCGCAGGGAACATCTCACATGTGGCCGAAGGGGACAAGCCCCAGCACAGAGCCACCATCTGCCTGAGCAAGATGGACATCGCCTGGGTGATCTTGGCCATCAGCGTGCCCATATCTTCCTGCTGTAAGTGCCATGTCCTCCCCCATGCCGGTCCTCCCCCGTCCGCCTCAGCCACAGCAATAAGCTCTGACCCCTCACTAAGCTCATCCCGGGAGGCAAGGTCAGCAGGACAGAGACCTCAGTGGTCCCGAGCCCTAGCCCTTGCTGGGGCCAGACCTTCGCTCAGATGCCCTTGGTCATCCAGCCACAGCTCCCAAGTCTGATCCCACCCTGCACTTTGCAGAAAGCACATGATGCTAGAGCAGTGGCCTGGCTCCCTCGGGACCCCAGAGTCTGTGGGAGGCAGGGCCGGGTAGGAGCTCAGAGCACACGTCTGTTAGCAGGGCACTCTTCTTGCCACCACCTTGCCACACTCCCCTCAGGAGCAGCCTGCACTGCCTGCACTGTGCCGAGACACCAGAGGTCAGAGGTCTGCTTCCAGATTTGCCGTCCCCGACCAGCAAAGCCCTCCCCTGGCTCTCCCCCTTCTCCCTCTTCCTTCTTGTCTTTTCTCTCCTCTCCTCCCTCAAATCTCCTCTTCCTTTCTCTGTGTCCACCCCGTGAACCACATCCTCTACCCCTACCCTGAACTCCTTGCTCCTTGGACAGCCCATTCTCTCTCTTTCCCTTTTTTTTTTTTATTTTAATTTGTTATTTATTTGATCAAGCTTTCATCTGGTGGTAAGTTCTCTTAGCCTTGGCAAAAACATAATTCCTGCAGTTAAATTAAGACTTGAAGGTTCTGGCCGGCGCCGCGGCTCACTAGGCTAATCCTCTGCCTAGCGGCGCCGGCACACCGGGTTCTAGTCCCGGTCAGGGCGCCGGATTCTGTCCCGGTTGCCCCTCTTCCAGGCCAGCTCTCTGCTGTGGCCAGGGAGTGCAGTGGAGGATGGCCCAGGTGCTTGGGCCCTGCACCCCATGGGAGACCAGGAAAAGCACCTGGCTCCTGGCTCCTGCCATCGGATCAGCGCGGTGCGCCGGCCGCAGCGTGCCAGCCGCGGCGGCCATTGGAGGGATGTGATTCAGAAAAAGGGAAAATGTCTGCAAATTGCCGATTTCATTCTTGATGAAAGCTGCTTAATTGTCTGTCATGGAAACACATGTATTCTTAGGACTGTGGTTGCCCACTTCTGAAGCAGGAGAATGATAATGAGAAAATGTAGCATTGTTAGCCAGTAAATTATTAGTAATGATCCTATTTGAGAAGTAGCTGCATGAGAGACAGCTTTCCAATTTTCCGTTCCTTACATGTATCTGGAATGTTCTAATTTATCAAGTGAGTTCTTTTTTATTATTACTGCATCCAGTTAAGTAAAATAAAAACAGAAACAAGCAAACACTGCTAAGATGCTAAAGGGTAGCTCCAGCCAGCATCCAATAGGGAGCGACTTGCTGGGGTCACACGGTAAGTCAACCCAGATCTGGGGGTTCCACATCTGGTTGATTCAGTGATGAATTTCCTGAGTGCCCAGTGTGTGCAGTGTGTGCCAGGCACTGTCGACGTGTGGCTCACTCCCCAGCTCCCAGCACTGCTCTTCATCTGGGCTGGGTGACCCTAGGGCAGGCCTCGCCTTCGCTCCGGCGGGCACACCCAGCTGGATTTTGCAGTTCTGAAATGACTTTTACTTCTTGCCTAGCCCTTCTCCTAGGTATGGGTTTGAGAACAGATCAGATCTTGCCGCCAAGCTGGGAAGCCAGTTCCGTCTGTGGAATTGTCAGTGAAGGCGGAAACTGTACCCAGAGAAGCGTCTAGCATGCGGGGAGGAGCCTTCAGGTGCTAAGGACTAAACACACACTGCTTCCCAAGGAAAACAGAACTCTTGTAGCCCCCACGTCTGCTTGTTCTGTCCTGCGCTTCTCTCACCTGCACAGGAGGAGTCTATAAACCCTCGCTCCCCAAGGCCCCAGCCTCTGCCCTGGCTGCCTCCACATTAGTCCCATATCCTTGGCCATGGCCTCAAAACCTGTAGGCCCTTCATCAGCCTTGTGAAGGTCCCAATGAAGTGGACATTAAGGTAGCACTGTCTCAGCAGATATCCGCCTCCCTTAGCTGCTTGCACAGCCCAGCCCCATCTGGTCAACAGGCAGGCAGACCTCAGTTGCTGACCCTCCTGGAGGCTCCGTGTACCCTAAAGCCCGGCAGACCAAGAGCATTGCACTGAAGTCCTCTGCTGGCTCCCCAGGTGTCTCAGGAAGCTGGGCTGGCAGCAGCACAGAAGCAGAGACTCCCTTGCTCGCTCAGAGCAGCTCTGGCCCTGGCCCCTGCCTTCCACGGCCACCAGAATCGGGGTTCAGATGGCCAGGGCTGCCTGAGGAGGGGTGGCTGCAGTTCTCCCCTTCCAGACCACGAGGCCCGCCCAGTGGCTGGAAGGGTCAATGTGCCAGGGCTGAGAAACGCTGTCTCCTGAGCCCAGCCACGTGGTTCAGACATGCTGAGAACTGGGATGGTGGGGTTCCAGGCAGCTCCGCTTCAGCAGAGCTGGTCTCTGCTGCCACCGTGAGGACGCAGGGAGCTCACTGTCTCTCTGCTTCAGCCATGCTCACGGTGTCACAGGCTCTGGGTTTCCGCAGGCTCCCTTGCCTCTGTGTCAACGTTCCTTCTTGAAAACGTCTTCGCCCAGAAGATGAGGCTTTACGGAGGCTGACGTCAGGAAGCTGGACCGGCTGCTGGTGTTCTTGATCACCAGTCGGAGTTGAGCCTGGCGGAAGCAGGACAGCTCCTCTCTGTGGCCCTGGGAGGGTCCACGTGCCCCTTGCTCCCGAGCAGCCTGACTTCTTGCGACACTGCATCATTGCAGCATTCGATGGTGCCCAGAGATTGCTGGTCATGGTAGCTGTCCAGTGAGTGTTAGCTCTCGATTACATGTGAACCATTTTACTCACAGGCCATCAGTGACTTTATAGTAATTACAGAAGAAAACCTGGGTCAGAACAACTTTTAGCCAGCAAAAGTAGAGGACGTTGAAGCCAGATGGAAGTGTGGCCAGGGGACTTGTCTCCTTGGGGCTGATGGACCAGCATAAGGAATAAGGGAGCGAGAAGAATGGGGCAAGGCAGAGTCGTCCAGGGAGTGCCACCGTGGCTACACCCTCTGACAGTGCTTCTCTGTGCCTCTCAGCCAGCGCCACAGGGTGGGAACCTCGTCCAGCCTGAGCAGAATTGGGGAACCTTTTATCTGCCAAGGGCCATTTGGATATTTATGCCATACAAAATTATCAACTTAAAAATTAGCCTGCTACAGATTGATTGAATTCCAAGCCCCACCTGGGGTTGCCTTGACACGGCTGGACCAAATGACATTGTGGGCCTATGGCCCATGTTCTATAGGCAGTAACCCTGCCAGGCTGGGGAGCCAAGCATTAAGCCCTCCAGCCTGGTTTCCTGTAGTCCATGGCCAAGGGGCCAAACTGAAGTACATCGTAGATCCCTGTCCTCTCCAGCCTCCCTGATTTTAACTCGCGCGGGCCATGCAGAGGAAGCCTAGAGTGCTTAGACAGACTTGGCTGTGGCAGGGAGCCCAGCTCTGTGTGTGCAGTTCTAGCTCTTGCCACTCATTGGCTCCGGGACTTACATTACTTAAACACTGATCCAGTCTTCACTCGTTTGTAAAATGGGACTACTGTCCACTAGGTTAGTTCAAGTCTTTCAAGAGGTAAGCACCAAAACAGGGTTAGTCTGCAAGATAATTGGGGGGATGGAGCAGGCGGGAGAGCCCCAGGTGACAGCACAGGCCTGCCATCTGAAGGGACTTGGGGGTGGGGATCGCTTGGACCTGCGGGGCAGTTCTAAGAAAGCGTCTGTCAAGCCAGTCGAGGAATCGTGCCCTGCACCGCTACCCCGCCATGGCCGTTGTGGCATGGCAGCATGGCCGTGGTGCCAGCGTGGTAGTGAGCCCTGAGGTACCACAGCTGGGCTCTCCCTCTGGTGTGCTGCATGCAGCTGGCAATCTCAGTGGGGTTTCAGTGCGGTCTCACAGACGTGCAGCAGTCAGAGGATTTGTGTAGTCTGTCACATTATCTGCGTGGAGCAGGTAGATAACTAGTGGTTACCATTCACGTTGCTGCTGTGGGGGCTGGCAGTGCATGATCAGAAAACGCCAGAAAAACAGCAGTTGTGGTCCTGAGAGGGCTGAGTCCTTGGGGGCCTGCGGGGCTTTGTTTCCACCCGCTCAGCTGGCCTTCCCGCCTGCAGGCAAGCCCTTCCCGGAAATGTGGACACAGTGCCCAGGGCTCCTTCTGAAAGTCAGTGACCCTGCTTGTCACACCTCTGACAAGCCATTGCTGCGTCCCCACAGACACTGCCGGGAAGCCTAGTGGTCAGCCCTGCTGCAGAGCGGGAGGAAGGAGGGCACCCCTGCACTCCTCTAAAGGCCAGCTGGCTTCTTCCCCACAGACACTGCCGGGAAGCCTAGTGGTCAGCCCTGCTGCAGAGCAGGAGGAAGGAGGGCACCCCTGCACCCCTCTAAAGGCCAGCTGGCCTCTTCCCCACAGACACTGCCGGGAAGTCTAGTGGTCAGCCCTGCTGCAGAGCGGGAGGAAGGAGGGCACCCCTGCACCCCTCTAAAGGCCAGCTGGCCTCTTCCCCACAGACACTGCCAGGAAGCCTAGTGGTCAGCCCTGCTGCAAAGCGGGAGGAAGGAGGGCACCCCTGCACCCCTCTAAAGGCCAGCTGGCTGTTGCCTTCAGCAAAGCAGAGCAGTGAAGCGCTTTGGCTAAATGGGTGAGGGACTGGCTGACACCTGCGTGGGTTAGGAAGCACCTCCACAACCCTAACGTGGGCTCCCTCCAGTGTCCAGGACAAGGTAGCTCAATGGGCACCAAGTGCAAGGTCGCCGAGACCCGGCTTCACGCGGCAGTAATTGCTGTGTGTTCAGCATTAGTGTTGGTGACTCCCGAGCCTTTACCTGTCTGTCAACGGGAGGAGTAACAGCTCCTTCCTCAGACAGTTGCTGGTGGGGTAAATAGATGCTGACGTGCTGGACTGGGATAGAGACTCCATCAGTCTGTGTTGTGCTTTTCTTTCTTGTAAGAAAGCTCCAACCTCGGAAATAATGGAAGTCCTGAACCACAGGTGGCGCTTTGGCCACCTGTGGTCATGTGGCCGGTGGTCATGTGGCCCACTTTTTCCCCCCTAGATTCTCTTGCTGGGGGAGGCTGGGAGAGCAAGAAGAGAACTCCAGTGAGTTAAGCACGTTGTGTGCCAGGCACTGCCTGGCGTTTGCCTCCATTACAATCATGAAGTGTGTATTTTTCAGAGACGTGACCCACCAGATGTAATACAGAGAGAGCTGTGACTTTGTGACCCCAAGCGTGCATTCTCTGTAGCCAGGCTGGCTTCCAGTAGATAAATGGCATGGCGCAGTTTCCTGTCTGTAAAATGGAGACCCTAACAGTGCTGACCTCGTGGTCAGAGCCATGCCCCAGTCCTAAGTCCTGTGTATCAGTCAGCAGCTTGGGCTGGAGGCCTAGGGGATGGTAGGCAGAGCAGCTCATTTGCCTGGTCCGAGACGTGCCCTGTGACGTTGCGCTGGGAGCCTCTGCCTTCATGGCCTCTGTGGGAGTCGGGTGTGCTGTGTGAAGTGCACTGTGCCCGCCTCTCTTTCTGCCAAGCCCCCCCACCCCCAACACACACACCAGAGAGCTCTCTTCTTTCCAGGGTTGCAACTCAGAATGCTCGTGCTGCGGTCTGCAGCAGAGCCTTAGGGAGCCTCCCACTGGTGAGTAAGGCCTTTCCTGGTTAGAGAACAGCACTGCAGTGTCCCAAGGTGGAGCCGGAATTACGTGCCAGCGTTGCCCTGTGGGTGCAGCCTGAGTCCACTCTGGCCTGTGTCCTGGCCCACTGTCCCCTGGCCCTGCGTCTGTCTCTCCACACACTCTGAGCTTATCCCATCCACTCTGCACATGCTGTGCTTCCTACCTGGAACACACTGCACATGACTGACCCCTTGCTGGACTCCAGCCTCTTCGGCAACTTTTGGTGTTGACTCCCCAACTCCCCTCCTCGCCTCCCTCATGTTGCCTGTTTCGTTTTCTTCAGAAGGCTGTCACTCTCTGAATTGACCTTATTTACTCACTTGGTGATGGTATGGACATGGTCTGACCGTGTCTCCACCTTTGTAACCTCCGTGTGTGTGCCAGGGTAGAGGCTCATGAAAGCAGGGAGGCCTAGGCCTTTGTTCACATCTGCCTGACACCTGGAAGGGTGTCTGGCTCAGAGTCGGCACTCGGCATATACAGACGTGAGCTGAAAGAGCCAGAGAATGAACGCATGGCCTTTGCAGCCCGACCTGGAGACTGGCATCTGTTACTAGCACAGCTGGTCTGCCGCCCTCCTTGCGTCTGCTGACTCGGCCTCTCTCCACAGCCGTCCTGCTGACCGTGTGCTGCATGAGGAGGAAGAAGAAGACGGCCAACCCCGAGAACAACCTGAGCTACTGGAACAACGCCATCACCATGGACTACTTCAACAGGCACGCCGTGGAGCTGCCGAGGGAGATCCAGTCCCTGGAGACGTCCGAGGTAAGCCCGTCCCCTGGAAGTGCAGGTGCGGGTCCCAGAGAGCCTGCAGCATCTGCTCCTGTCTGAGGCCCTCGCTCCTCCAGTCGTGGCCTGTGCATCCACAGCCTTCCCAGACCCAGGCCCGACGGAATCAGGAGCCGCATTTTGGCCAGAATTCCCAGGCGCTTTGCACCTCTGTTAAATCTGGGCAGTCCCGGTTCTTTTCTTGTCCAGAACAAGCCATCAGTGCTCACTGGGGACTTATCTCGTGGCAGGCATCGTCATGGGAACTGTGAAGATGAGCGCTTGCTTCTCCAGAAGCTCGGATTCGGATTCGGATTCGGAGATGTGGTTGGGAAGCAGCTCACACAGGGACAGAACAGTTAGACAAACACGAGAAGAGTTGCAGACGGAGTGTGCCAAGGGTCTCTGCAGGGGAGGTGCTGTGGAGCAGGCCTTCCAGCAGAGGAGATAGCCCGAGAGCGGGCGGAGTGCATGCCGGGCACGCTGCGTCGGGAGTGTTTGCCCGGGATTGCCGCTGGCCACCGGGGGGCACGGATGACCGCAGAGCCCATCCTTTCCGTTCTCATGGAGGTTGGGATAGGGGCCCAAGTGGAGCAGGAGAGCAAGGTGAAGGGGGCAGGTTTGGCACAGCCTCGAACGGGCTGTCAGTTGTGGTGTTGGGCTGGGGCAGCAGAGGATCATTGGAGGCACCGAGTTTGGGTGAGCTAGTTGTGGGGGAGCCCTGCTGCTGCCCAGTGAAGGGCCCGTTCCTGGGAGTGGACAGGGAGGGGACAGAAGGGTGGTGTGAGGGTGGTGTGTGGAGGGAAGGCGAGGAGGACGGGCTATAAATAGGCCAGCGAGGATGCAGTCGCCATGGATAAGGAGCGTGGCGGGAGCTGAGCAGAGTTCTCGAGGATGCTCATCCCGCCTTCCCTGCACAGCCACCCCTCGGCAGCCGGTGACTCGGCACAGACGTGGTCGCCTCACCCTGCCCAAAGCCCTGCAGGAGCTTCGGTGGCCCTGAAGCTGAAGTGCAGCCGGCCCCAGCCCCGGCCCCACGTCACCCCTCCCCACCTGCAGAGCTCCTGCACGGCGCTGAGTGACATCACACCGGCCCCGGGCTGTACCTGAGCCTGCTGGAGTGTTCCTTGCCTCCCCAGCACCCCGCACTCGTCACTCAGTGGCCCCGGCTGTCACGCAGGGCCCAGTCTAAGAGACTTCCGCGGGGACTGGCTTCTAAGAGACTTCCGCGGGGACCGGCTGTGTTCTGCTCTCCTGTCACCTGTCTCTGCCCCGCCCCCCCGCGTCTTCCTCGCGACTGTGTAGCTGGGGTCCCTTCCACGTCGCCGAGCCCAGCGGTCAGCCCGCGCACTGTCTCGCCCTGTCCCCAGCACACCGGCGGGCAGTCCTTTCCCTCCTAGACCGTTTCCTCACGGCAGCACGGCCCCTCCTTCTCTGCCCCCTCCCCCCTCCTGGCAGCACAGCCCCTCCTTCTCTGCCCCCCCCCCCCGGCAGCACGGCCCCTCCTTCTCTGCCCCCCCCGCCTCCTGGCAGCACGGCCCCTCCTTCTCTGCCCCCCCACCTCCTGGCAGCACGGCCCCTCCTTCTCTGCCCCCTCCCCCCCCACCTCCTGGCAGCAGGGCCCCTCCTCCTCTGCCCCCCCACCTCCTGGCAGCATGGCCCCTCCTCCTCTGCCCCCCCACCTCCTGGCAGCATGGCCCCTCCTTCTCTGCCCCCCCCCTCCTGGCAGCACAGCCCCTCCTCCTCTGGCCCCCCCACCTCCTGGCAGCTCCTGCTCAGCCTCTGGGACTGCTTTGTCCTTTCCCTGCCTCTGACCACACAGGCTCAGCCCTGCCACCACCCGTGTCTCCCCTGAACCCAGACTCGTGCCCAGTCACTTCCGGCACGTGTCTAATACGTACCCCAAACTCCACGTGCCCAAGACAGAACCCTGGAGTCCCCATCTGTCCCTGAAGCCCGGAACTCACCCATGTGTCCCATTATGTCCGAGGCACTGCTTTCCTCTCCCGGGCCACAGCCGGGCAGTCTGCCAGTCCCGGAGGAGCACTTCTCGTTGGCTGTGCTTCTCTCTGGGCCCAAGCGCCCCTTCTGTCTCCCTCGTGATTGCCATGGTGGCCTCTGGAAGCTGACCCTCACCCTCTTCGTGCCCTGCGGTCTTCTCCAGCGGTAGTCAGTGTTCTCAGGGCTGGTCCTGGTGTCCATCTCAGCCCCAACTCACAGGTGAAACCCACACTCCTCAGGAGCCGGCACCTGCTCACCTTCCAGACCCCGATCACTGACCCAAGCCACAGCGGCCTCTCTGCCCTTCCTCCAAGAAATCCACACCCTGGAGCTGGGCTCTTACACCTACCTGAGACGCTTTTCTCCTGGCGCCCGGTGTGATGTACTCAGTGCTGGGAATGAGCAGTACAAAACTCACTGTGGTCAGAGCTTAGCAAATGGGGGGGGGGGGGGTGATGTGAGGCTGGGACGCCGGCTGAGGCTGGAGGTCTTCCCTGGCTGCCCTGTGTGGTTAGAGCCCCGTCTTCATCCCTGTCCCCTGCCCTGTGTTGGTTAGCACCCCGCCTTTATCCCTGTCCCCTGCCCTGTGCTGGTTAGCGCCCTACCTTCATCCCTGTTCCCTGCCCTGTGTTGGTTAGAGCCCCGCCTTTATCCCTGTCCCCTGCCCTGTGCTGGTTAGCGCCCCACCTTCATCCCTGTTCCCTGCCCTGTGCTGGTTAGAGCCCTACCTTCATCCCTGTCCCCTGCCCTATGCTGGTTAGCGCCCCGCCTTTATCCCTGTCCCCTGCCCTGTGTTGGTTAGTGCCCCGCCTTTATCCCTGTCCCCTGCCCTGTGCTGGTTAGCACCCCGCCTTTATCCCGTCCCCTGCCCTGTGTTGGTTAGAGCCCTACCTTCATCCCTGTCCCCTGCCCTGTGCTGGTTAGCGCCCCGCCTTCATCCCTGTCCCCTGCCCTGTGCTGGTTAGTGCCCCGCCTTTATCCCTGACCCCTGCCCTGTGCTGGTTAGCGCCCCGCCTTTATCCCTGTCCCCTGCCCTGTGTTGGTTAGAGCCCCGCCTTTATCCCTGTCCCCTGCCCTGTGCTGGTTAGAGCCCCGTCTTCATCCCTGTCCCCTGCCCTGTGTTGGTTAGCACCCCGCCTTTATCCCTGTCCCCTGCCCTGTGCTGGTTAGCGCCCTACCTTCATCCCTGTTCCCTGCCCTGTGTTGGTTAGAGCCCCGCCTTTATCCCTGTCCCCTGCCCTGTGCTGGTTAGAGCCCCGTCTTCATCCCTGTCCCCTGCCCTGTGTTGGTTAGCACCCCGCCTTTATCCCTGTCCCCTGCCCTGTGCTGGTTAGCGCCCCACCTTCATCCCTGTCCCCTGCCCTGTGCTGGTTAGCGCCCCGCCTTCATCCCTGTCCCCTGCCCTGTGCTGGTTAGTGCCCCGCCTTTATCCCTGACCCCTGCCCTGTGCTGGTTAGCGCCCCGCCTTTATCCCTGTCCCCTGCCCTGTGTTGGTTAGAGCCCCGCCTTTATCCCTGTCCCCTGCCCTGTGCTGGTTAGCGCCCCGCCTTTATCCCTGTCCCCTGCCCTGTGCTGGTTAGTGCCCCGCCTTCATCTCTGTCCCCTGCCCTGTGTTGGTTAGCGCCCCGCCTTTATCCCTGTCCCCTGCCCTGTGCTGGTTAGTGCCCTACCTTCATCCCTGTCCCCTGCCCTGTGTTGGTTAGAGCCCTACCTTCATCCCTGTCCCCTGCCCTGTGTTGGTTAGCGCCCCGCCTTTATCCCTGTCCCCTGCCCTGTGTTGGTTAGCACCCCGCCTTTATCCCTGTCCCCTGCCCTGTGTTGGTTAGCGCCCCGCCTTTATCCCTGTCCCCTGCCCTGTGTTGGTTAGTGCCCCGCCTTTATCCCTGTCCCCTGCCCTGTGCTGGTTAGCGCCCCGCCTTTATCCCTGTCCCCTGCCCTGTGTTGGTTAGCACCCCGCCTTTATCCCTGTCCCCTGCCCTGTGTTGGTTAGCGCCCCGCCTTCATCTCTGTCCCCTGCCCTGTGTTGGTTAGTGCCCTACCTTCATCCCTGTCCCCTGCCCTGTGTTGGTTAGCACCCCGCCTTCATCCCTGTCCCCTGCCCTGTGTTGGTTAGCGCCCCGCCTTTATCCCTGTCCCCTGCCCTGTGTTGATTAGAGCCCTACCTTCATCCCTGTCCCCTGCCCTGTGTTGGTTAGAGCCCTACCTTCATCCCTGTCCCCTGCCCTGTGTTGGTTAGAGCCCCGCCTTTATCCCTGTCCCCTGCCCTGTGTTGGTTAGCGCCCCGCCTTCATCTCTGTCCCCTGCCCTGTGTTGGTTAGCGCCCCGCCTTCATCCCTGTCCCCTGCCCTGTGCTGGTTAGTGCCCCGCCTTTATCCCTGACCCCTGCCCTGTGCTGGTTAGCGCCCCGCCTTTATCCCTGTCCCCTGCCCTGTGTTGGTTAGAGCCCCGCCTTTATCCCTGTCCCCTGCCCTGTGCTGGTTAGCACCCCACCTTCATCCCTGTCCCCTGCCCTGTGCTGGTTAGCACCCCGCCTTCATCCCTGTCCCCTGCCCTGTGTTGGTTAGTGCCCTACCTTCATCCCTGTCCCCTGCCCTGTGCTGGTTAGCGCCCCGCCTTCATCCCTGTCCCCTGCCCTGTGCTGGTTAGCGCCCCGCCTTCATCCCTGTCCCCTGCCCTGTGTTGGTTAGTGCCCCGCCTTTATCCCTGTCCCCTGCCACTAGGTTGTCCTTCAGAGCACTTGTCACCGCCCACACTGAGTTGCTGACCCCTGGTGGCCAGTCTGTGATCTGGCTCCTCTGCTAGAACAGAAACTGTTGAGTTCACTGCTCCATCCCCAGAGCCTAGAACAGTGCCTGGCACAGGGCAGCTACTTGATAATGATCATCAAGGGAATGAGCTATACATGTACCCCCCACCCAGCCCAGTGCCCTGCTACACAGATCTGAACTCAGGGGGAGGCATTTGGCCTAGCAGTTAAGACCCTGATGCCCCTGTCCCACATCGTGGTGCCTGAGTTTGAAATATACAGCTCTGAGTGCTGACGCCAGCTTCCTGTTAATGCAGACCCTGGGAGAATAGCAAGTGATGGCTCGCGTCCCTACCATAGACATCCTGGATTGGGTTCCTGGCTCCTGGCTTCAACCTGGGCCAGCCTTGGCTGTTGCAGGCATTTGGGCAATGAACCAGCAGACAGGAGCTCTCTGTCTGTGTCTGTCTCTCCTCCCCCTCTCCAACTCCTCTCTTTTACTGCTTCTACCTAGTCTACCTCTGTCTCTCAAAGCAAAAAAAAAAAAAAAAAAAAAAAAGAGGTGGACTAACAAGCTTCCTAGAGCAAAAAGTCTTCCTGAGAACTGGTGTAGTAAAATGTGTAACTTAGAGAAGAGGCTGGCCCCAACTGGATAAGGGCCACGAACCCCAGAGCCCTGTTTTTCTCCTGTTCTTGTTGCACACTGCTAAGTGGAACCCCGAGGCACACTGCGGAAGAAGCCCTGTCTGTGGAGTGTCCGCGTCGATGAGGCTGACGCAGCGGCAGGCTGCCACGAGCCAGAGGCTCTGATGGAGGCGCTGCCCGCGCCCCGAGCCCAGTGTGGCCCCCAGCAGTGTGCCCCTCTCGTTCTGCGTTATTTAGAGCGATGCTGCAGCCTGTTCTCTCTAGGACACAGTGCTATTTGAGGGAAAAGGCTGGCATCTCAGGCAGGATGCAGATGGCTGGGGACACACACGCGTCGTAAACCAGCCGTGGCCTTGTCACCGGCCCGGGGCCGCGTTCCACCGTGCGCCGCGCCCTCCGATGTGCTCTCGGCACTCCTGCTCCTCACCCAGCAGCGCTGGAGCTGCCAGATGCTTTGCCTAAGCGAGTTGCTCTGCCGCCTGCGCCGGTGTGCTGATGGCAGCGGCAGAACGGAAACGGCTCTGCACGGGCAGAGCTGTGACGCCTAGCGGTCTCGCGGACTTCTCCGTTCTTCTTCCTGTCCCTCCTCCTCCCCGCTTGCTTCCTTTCCCTGTCTGTCTGCTTCGTTTTCCCCCTGATTATTTCTCTTTTACACAGTGAAATACACCCACCAGGCTCACCTTCGGTGAACACTTCCTTTGTGCAAACAGAAATGGCAGGCCACCAAATTCCTACCACGGCTCAGCCCGGACGCACGGCGGAGACGGACGGAGGCCCGCTCTCTGATGTGCTGCCCAGTTTCTGAGTTCCGAGGCTAGCCCCACGTCCGCCCTCCTGAAGGGCACTCAGCCAGTCCAGGCATTGCAGGAATTTCTGTCTCCTAAGAAAACATTTTATCGACAGTGTCATTTCTCCTTTTCTCTCCTCATGATCTGTAGAGCAATAAGTACTACTCCTCATAAACATTTTGTGTTTTGTTTAAAAATAAGCTAAAGATAATTGTGGCTTAAAATGAAGACGTTTCTTTTCTTTTTTTAAGATTTATTTATTTACGGGAGAGACAGAGAGAGTGCTTCCATCCAATGGTTTACTCCCCAGATGGCTGTGACAGCCAGAGTTGGGCCGATCCAAAATCAGGAGCCAGGATCTTCTTCTGGGTCTATGTGGGTGCAGGGGCCCAAGCATTTGGGTCATCTTCCACTGCTTTCTCAGGGGTGGGGACATCTCCAGGCTGTAACAGAGAGCTGGATTGGAAGAGGAGCAGCCAGGACTTCAGCCAGCACCATTAGGATGCCCGTGCCCCCGGCGGAGGCTTTACCTGCTATGCCACAGTGCCAGCCCCCCAAAATGAAGACCTTTCCAAGCAGCCCTGGTGTGAGCTAGATCTGTCATCGAGTCGGTGCTCTGCAGTGGCCCCGAGGCTGTGAGTTGAGTTGTTTAGAACTGGAACAAGCTATGGCTTTTCTTTCCTCCTCCTAAATTAAGACTTGGGTCTGAACCTGTCAGCCACTTGGTAGCCCCCACATGCTCCCAGTCCTTGATAGCTGAGACTGTAGCCCTGCCGCCATCCAGGTGGCTCTTCTCCTGTTATGCATCACACAGAGATTTGCATCTGATAGGTTTGTGGGCCTCTGACGGGCAGATGGCAGGCGAGGAGGCAGTGGATGAGCACAGGGTGCTGAGGAAGGAAGTGAGGCTCCCAGTGGTCCCTGAGAAAGAGGCGGGAGGCGGTCGTGCATGCCAGCCCCCCTCAGACCCCGACGAAGGGTAAGGATAGGAAACCTTAAGGATAGGAAACCTTTTTTTGGTTTGGTTTTGTTTTTTGGAAGCGGCTGTAAAACTCTGGAAGAGCAGAGAGGGCTCTGCACCTTAGCCCTGATGGTGCGGATGGCGGAAGTGTGAGCACGCAGCGCCAGGCTGAGTGAATGCCCCCGCGCGCGCTTGTGCAAGAACAGCCGCCTCCGCGCTCACGCCACCTGTGTCTCCCTCCAGGACCAGCTCTCAGAGCCCCGCTCCCCAGCCAACGGCGACTACCGAGATGCCGGGATGGTCCTCGTGAACCCCTTCTGTCAGGAAACGCTGTTCGTGGGAAGCGATCAAGTGTCCGAGATCTGACTGCAGCAGCCTCTGCTTTGCCAGTCCCTATTTTCATCTCCAAATTATAAATACACAAATATATATATTATAAATATAACCTTTGTGTAATTCCGACTTAAATGAGAAACATTTTCAGCTTTTTTTTTCCTAAGAATTGTCAACATCTTTTTTATAAGTGTGGTTTAAAAAAAAAACTTTACAGAATGATCTGTGGCTTTATAAAATAAAGATATTTCTAAGCAAAGCAGTTGCACTGATTGCTTCTCTGAGTAACTGTTCGTGAACACTAAGCAGGTGAGGTAAGACACGGACCTACTGTAACAGCTGAATGTTAAATGACCAAGTGTAAGATCTTGGAGTGATTCTGAAAGTACTGCTTCCTCTTGGTTTGCTGTAACCCAGCTCCTCCCTCCTCGTTCGCACAGTGGAGAAGGCAGCTGGGCCTGCTGGGGGAGATGGCAGAGTCAGGCACAAAGCAGGAAAAGGAACCGCACAGCCCCCAGAGGAAGGAACCTCTGCACCACTGGAAGTCAAGTTCGTTCCAGGTGGCGGATGGAGGGCAACCCTCAGGGGTTGTGGGGGACGTTGGCATCCAAAGGCCACATCTCCCCGACATCACAGGGCAGAGAGCTTCCACCGTGCTGACTCGGGACTGCCTGTTCTCAGCAGGAGGCGGCACCCCTTCAGCACTTCCCTGCGTCTGCCCCAGGACCCGTGTGCGTCCTTGTCTCAGAGGGGATTAGACGCAGATCCCAGCCCTGGAACCCTAGAATGCCCGTGCTTCTTCAAGGATCAATTGTTCTTTGTGGTTTAGGCTTGTTTCCTCCAAAGGCCAAGGTGACCCCTGGAGAACATGCTTATCTGGGAAGTCTAAAGCTGTAGTTTTTGAAACCTTCCTCCTGCAATCTTAGAACAGTGACTGGCATAGGAGGAGCGCTAGTCTGCTCGCCTTGGTGTTGAAGACCTGCCGGCCTCTCACCCCCACCCCGTGCTGTCCCTCATCCCTGTGGGCTGGTGCCAATGGGTCAGACCCGCAGAGACACAGTAGGAGCTTCCAGGGGTGGCTGCTGCTCTGTTTTCCCTAATAGCTGCTGGCTTGGAGAGAGAACTGCTCCGATGCTTCTTTCCTCTAAAAGAAAATGGTTTGATAGTATATTTTCAAGATAGATGTTCTGACAGACTGGGAGTTGAACTTGAATGTTGGTTCACATGTTTGTGTTGTTGCTGTGGTCTTTTTATCATGTTTTTCCTTCCTACATTTTCCTTACTAAGAAAGAGATGGCCTTCAACACTGTGTGTTCTCAATGTTGTGAGTGCAACTGTTGTCACTTCAGCCCACAAAGAAGCAAGTCCAATGTCACTTGGGATTTATTTTCTAACATGTTGCTGTCGGACCAGTTTAACCTTATCATATTATTTCTGTTAGCAATTGCATCTACTATTATCAATGTGTATGAGTATATATGGAGAGAAATCTGTTTGTAAAGTATAATTATATATAATATATGTAATCAGATACATATGTTATATATACAAATGTGATGTATGACTTATTTTTCTTTACCCTTAGAATTCAGCTAACGTGTATATATAAATAAACTTATTTTATTACCCAGAGGATTAAGTTGCTAATACCTTTTGCATTTTTTTCATTTTAAAAATAATTTTTGAGTCTTCATTAAGCAGTACCAACACCACCTATGTCTGTCTGTATTTTTTTTTACTGGAAGTTAGGTTTTTTAGTATAATAAGATAATAAGATTAGCAATTTATAATCTGATAAAACAAATCATTTAGAATATGTCTTTGATTTCTCCATAAGAGAACCCCCTCCCTTCAGGTCTTCAGAGACATGGGTGTCGATTAAGGTGCACCCGCTTCTCATTCTCCCTCCCCAGGTCTCAGTGTGTTTTATGGTACGTGCATTTGGGTCTGGGAAATGTGAAGTTAACCTGGCCACTTGGTGTTCCCATTCCGTAGAGTAACAGGGCAGGCGTGACAGCTTTGCAAACAGCCTGATCAGTAGTTTGAACCCTTTGGGAAGCCCTGGACAAGACCCAGTCAGGAGGACGTCCCACGTGGATCCTGCGCCCTTTCAGCTCCACTAGGGGTGTGGTCAGAGTTCCTGTCTGAGTAAACAAGGGTGTTGCCTACCTCTGCTTAGCCCAGTGGGTTTCCAAACTTGTTGAACAAATACCCAGCACGGCTTTATAAAAAGTACCTTCTGTAACATCCCAACTAGACCACGCAGGAAGAGGGAGAAAAGGGCGGGTGTGGTCTCCTGATCAGCAAAATGAAGCACACACAGAATATTCCAGGAGGTGGCCAGGACTTTCAGCTTTGCCCGTGTGACCTTGGGTAGGTGAGAGACAGAGACCACTGTGATTTGAATAGGATTTGGCTCCCAAAGTCATTTTAAGCCCACATAAGTTAGTGATGCTCCGAGAGTGGAAACTTAATCTAGTTATGGTGTTTAGGATCTGGGGCCTGGAGTGGGGTCCTTGGGTCACTGAGGGCCTGCCCTAGGAAGTTACCTCTTCCAGAGGGCTGCTGCCAAGGCTATCAGGCCCGGCCTCACACTGCTTCCTGGCTCACCGGTGGTGTGAGCCTCCTCCCCACCGGCTCAGCCCCACCCTGGGGCAGAATCTAGAGCCCACATCCAGCGGCTTGCGCCTTCAGCCTCTCCCTCAGGATCAGTTCGTCTCAGCTCTTTTACTGTGGTATGAAAAAACTGACGCAAGGTCCTCAACAGGTCGCTGGCCCTGGGACCACGAGAGGCCTCTTCCCGCCGGCTCTGCTGCGTTGCAGACGTGGAGATGTGGGCAGGTCAGCTCTCGGGCTCCTCGTGAGGGCGCGACAGGCAGCTGTGGGACATGTGACAGTATCCTCCAGAGCTGTGCAGTGCGCATCAGCCCTGTGCCTACCCCTCAGTTCACCTGGGAAATGCAGTGAAGTGTGGGGATTGTGCACAGCGCAGGGGTGGATTCCGCACACACGAGACGTTGGCTCCAGCCCCTGTGTCTGGCTTCAGGCGTATTCCCACAGGATCTGGGATAAAATCCAGCTCTGCAGCTCAGTGGCCTGCTTTTTCCGGGGTAAAACACTCTCATCCCTGGGGCTGCAGGAACCCCTGTGATCCTGGGGAAGTCGTCAAGGTGTGACCTTTGGCAACATGACTTAGTGGATGCTGGGGGTAGGAACGAAGACCCAGGGGTCTCATCAAGTCCTAATGGAGGGAGCACTTCTGGAGAGCTTACCAGGGCTGCCGGTGTAAGGACCAGCCACAGTGCAACAGGCGCAGCATGCGGACTTGCTCGAGAGGCCAGGTCCTCTGCATCAGAGTTAGAGCTGAGACTGTGGAGAGTAAGGTCCGGGGAGGTGGAGTGAGGTGACCTGCAGAGTCTGAGAGGGCAGAGGTGAGGAGGGAAGCCAGGGAGGGAACTGAGGCTGCTGCTGGGGCTGGGGGCAGGGGTGTGGAGGAAGCAACAGGCTGGGGCTGCCTCCTGCCGTGGCTACTTGACATCCATGTTCACGCTTGCCTACTTGCAGCACACGCTGGGATGAAGTTGGCCCAGGAGTCCCAGCTTACGGTCTGTGGGCCCTGAGTCGGTGTACTCATCTGTGGAACAGAGCTGCCCAGTGCCTGCCTTGCCCTGCCTTAGGCAATGAAGTACACAAAGCCAAAGGGCCACCCCCACAGCCTCTACTGACCCAGCCTCCCCCACCACCAGCAGAAGCATCTAGGCGGCCAGGCACATGACCCCGCATCACAGAACGCATGAGCGCATCTCTGCACACAGCCCTGGGCGTGGCCCGTTTCTCTTTCAGCTCAGTGAATGATGGAAGCTCATGGAAGGCAGCAGACAAAGCCACCCCAGGGACGGGGCAGTTCCAGAGGGGCCCGTGACCAGGCCACAGGGAGGCTGGGACTGGGAACCAAAAGCCACTGGGCTCTGAAGCTGCTGGACACCTCAGAGGCAGGACAGTGCCAAGCAAGCCGTGAGTGGCAGTGGTCTTTCCACCAGTGCCGGCTCCAGCATGCCCTTCCAGAGGCGCAGGGTGTCCTTCAGGGGGACACGGGCGTCATCCTCCCTGGAGAGCCCCCCAGCCTCCAGGACCAATGCCGCGGGTGGCCTTGTCCGGGCACCTGGGGTCTATGTGGGGACGGCACCCAGCATAGGCGGCCTGGGTGCCCGGGTGACCCGCCGGGCCCTGGGCATTAGCAGCGTCTTCCTGCAGGGCCTGCGGAGCTCAGGCCTGGCCACGGTGCCTGCTTCGGGTCTGGAGAGAAGCCACACTTCTGTGGAGGACCTGGGAGGCTGCCTGGTGGAATATATGGCCAAGATACATGCCCTCGAGCAAGTCAGCCAGGAGCTGGAGACACAACTGCGGACGCACCTGGAGAGCAGGGCCCAGCGCTCGGGGGGCTGGGGCGCCCTCCAGGCCTCCTGGGCCAGCAGCTGCCAGCAGGTGAGTGCCGGCTGTGCCCAGGGCCTGGCCGAGGACTGAGCAGGCAAGCTCAGGCTGGGGCCGGGGGTGTCGTGAGTAGGCTGAGGCCACGAACCCAACACTGTCATACTAAAAAGGCTGGGGCTAACAATAGGCATATACTGAGGTTCACTAGGAGCAGGCCTAGCTGGTCCCTGAGTGTATGCAGCCTCTCCCAGAATGTTCTAAACAAGGCTATGTGGGGATCGTTTTCTGATGGCACTGTTTCATGTGAGAAAATATACATACAATTTTGTAACGGTAGTAGGGGTCGGAGCTGGGATTTTGAAGTCGGGTTTTCCTAGCTCTGGAGCTGTACTTGTCCCTTTACCCTGGGCTGCCTCTGTCACCTTTACTGGTGAGAAAGGGTTTCTATAGCCATTATGCAACTGGATACCAAGGAATGAATGTGAGTACGTGGAGGGGCTTCTTTGTCCACCTGTGATAGCAATGCCCAGTAGAAGCACAGATAATCTACAAGTTCTGTTGGCGAAAGAAAGAAGAAAGAGGTGATGCTAATATTTAATCGCATATCGTATTTAACTCAATGTGGATGCTAAGCATGTCAGGCAGTTTACATTCAAGTAGGAAGGCAGGGATGGAAATGTCTCATGTCAGCACTGTGCAATCTGGCGGCCACTGGCCACAGATGACTATCGATTCCTTGACCTGTGGCTAATGAGGCTGAGGAACTGAGTTGTTTCGTCTCCATTAGTTTAAATAGCCCCATGTGGCTCCTGGCTCTGCTGTGCAAGGGAGGTTTCAGCTTCCCTCCCTGCTGGGGTTCTGCTCTCCTGCTCCCCCTTGTGGCGTCTCTGAGCACTGAGCTCCACCAGCGCATCTGGCCTGCAGCCTGGACTTCTAGTGCTGGGACTCCAGCCATGTTGCCCATCTCCACTGGTGTCTCTGTGGCTGGCTGCCTTCTCTCCTCTTCCTCCTCCTCCTCCTCCTCCTCCTCCTCCTCCTCCCCAGATACTGGCCTTGGCTTCCCTCTGAGTAAAGCCAGCGTCTAACACAGACAGGAATTACCAGCTCAGACCCTTTGCCCCCTGGGGTCCAGCACAGAACCCTCAAGGTGGGGCTCAAGCCTTGTTCGTGTGTGGCTGGGTGATGCCACCTGCCCCTCAGCCTCCCACTCCATCCCAGGATGCCTCTCCTTGGCTGTCACCAGGGCTCGGCTGACAGCACAGACACCGGACACGCAACACCATCGTCTGGGATGTGAGGGAGAGTGTCTGGGCCGTCAGGCCTGTCCGCTCTGGGGGGCAGCCTTCCCTCCAGTTCTGATTCCCAGTGTTTATGCCACACACCAATCACTAGGACACCCTGAGCTGTTCCAATGTACCGGCGTCTACTCGACCACTGCGCATACTTGGATCCCGCGTGGACGTGTCAGGAGACAGCACGCGTCCAACTTCTGGTTTAAAAAGCTGGACTCAAACCATAGTCCAGTCTATAGATACAGACTTGCTGCAGGATCTTTGGCAGCTTATCCGACTTTTCTGGGCCTCCGTTCTCTTTCTATAAGGTGGGTATGATAAAGCACGGGCGGTCCAGCAGATCAGCAAGAGGCTACCGACTTGAGTGCTGCACACATCATGAGGGCCAGATGCCAAGACATTCTGCTCCCGCCACTGGTGGCCAGACTCCCAGAGAGGCCATTTCTCTCCAGGAACCACAAGGAGAGTCCTGGGTGCAGCATAGATCTCTGCCTTCTCTTTTAAACCTGGCCTGTACTTTGCTGGAACAACCCATGAAATGGCAATGTTATTTCTGCATTGCACAGCTCAACTTTCCAGTCATTAGTAAGCTCTATTCCACTAGAGAGAAAAAACTAAAACCCTCCATCCTGTATTTGAGAAATGCTATTATTTTCCCAATTAGGTCCTAATGAGTTGCTGGCCAGGCCACCCCCTGTGGCCCCCCAACCATGGTCGGTAAAAGGGCTGAGCTCTGGTGTGGTCCCGTCTCCCTCCCAGGGATAGGGTCTTGCCTGCCCACCCCTCTGCCTTCCAGGAGCCGCAGGCCCCTCCTGCCCACCCTCTCTTTCTCCTCCCTGAGCAAGCTAGGGGGTGGCAACCCCCCCAGGACACAGCATCAGCCCAGCAGCTCAGTTATGGAGCAAGGCCCCT